TCTTGAAGAGATCTGGGATAACAGGAAAATACCTAAACATAATAAAAGCTATATACAGCAAACCAACAGCCAACATCAAACTAAATGGACAGAAACTGAAGGCGATTCCACTAAAATCAGGAAAAAGACAAGGCTATCCACTCTCTCCATATCTCTTCAATATTGTACTCGAAGTTCTAGCTAGAGCAATAAGACAACAAAAGGAGATCAAGGGGATACAAATTGGAAAGGAAGAGGTCAAACATTCACTGTTTGCAGATGACATGATAGTTTATATAAATGACCCAAAGAACTCTACCAGGGAAATCTTACAGCTGATTAACACCTTCAGCAAAGTGACAGGATACAAGATCAACTGAAGAAAATCAGTAGCCCTACTATATACAGAAGATAAGAGGGCTGAGAAAGAAATCAGAGAAACATCACCCTTTGCAATTGCCACACACAAGATAAAATACCTTGGTGTAACGCTAACCAAACAAGTGAAAGACCTGTATCACAAGAACTTTGAGTCTTTAAAGAAAGAAATTAAAGAAGACACCAGAAAATGGAAAGATCTCCCATGCTCTAATTAGATAGGTAGGATCAATGTAGTAAAAATGGCGATCCTGCCAAAAGCAATCTACAGACTCAATGCAATCCCCATCAAAATTCCAGCACAATTCTTCACAGACCTTGAAGGAACAATTCTCAGCTTTATACAGCAAAAGTAAAGACCCAGAATAGTCAAGACAATCCTGCTCAACAAAGCAACATCTGGAGGCATCACCATTCCAGACTTCAAGCTCTGTTATAGAGCTGTAGTCCTGAAAGCAGCTTGGTACTGGCATAAGAATAGACAGGTAGACCAATGGAACCGAATTGAACACTCTGAGAATAATCCACAAACCTATGAACAGCTGATTTTTGACAAAGAAGCTAAAATTATACAATGGAAAAAAGATAGCATCTTAAACAAATGGTGCTGGCATAATAAAAAGATAGCATCTTAAACAAATGGTGCTGGCATAACTGGTTATTTGCATGTAGAAGACTGAAGATAGATCCATGTCTATCGCCATGCACAAAACTTAAGTCCAAATGGATCAAAGACCTCAACACAAATCCAGCCAGAGAAAGTGGGAGGTACCCTTGAACGAATTAGTACAGGAGACTGCTTCCTGAACATAACACCAGTAGCTCAAACACTAAGATCGACAATTAATAAATGGGATCTCCTGAAACTGAGTAGCTTCTGTAAGGCAAAGAACACAGTCAGCAAGACAAAAAGGCAACCCACAGATTGGGAAAAAACATTCACTAACTCTACATCTGACAGAGTGCTGATCTCAAAAATGTGTAAAGAACTCAAGAAGTTCTTCTCCAAAACACAAAGGGCCCAATTACAAAGTGGGGGCCTGAACTAAATAGAGAATTCTCAATAGAGGAGTCTAAAATGGCTGATAGACATTAAGAAAGTGCTCAACACCCTTGGCCATTAGAGAAATGCATATCAAAACAATCCTGAGATAGCATCTTACTCCTGTCAGAATGTCTAAAATCAAAAACACTAATGACAGCTTATGCTGGACAGGATATGGAGAAAAAAAAGAATAAAACTTAATTGATAAAATAGATAAATCGATTAGTTCCTGAGATTTCACTTAGTCATTACAGAAAAGAAAGACTTTTATTACTCAAAAACTTCCTTTCACTTGTAAATTTTACTCTTCCCATAATAGCTTTCAGAATTCTTTCTGTGCAGTATGTGCTCACTGGTTAGCTGGGTAGCATAAAACACTTACACATCTCATTGGATGTTCACTAACTCTTCAAAAATAACCAAACTAGGCCCCTCTAAAGACACTAAGCATCCTAGATCATGAAGCTATTAGGTCACAGTACATTATGAAATCAAAAAGGACAATTACTAGATTTGAGTGATGGTGGAGAGCTGTCTCAGTGTTAAGAGTACCTAAAGCTCTTGTTGGCAGCCTGGGTTCTGTCCCAGGCCGCCTTGGGACCTAGGTTTCTTTTTTAAAAGCGCAAGTTGTTTGTACACATCATACTTGCTATTACTTGTTTTTAAGTTTTTTTTATTTTCTTACATTTTATTTTGTGTGTCTGTCCATGTGTACCTGTGTGTGTCTGCATGCATGCATGCATGCATGCATGCGTGCATATCATTGTGAGCACATACTATGGTGTGTATGTGGAGGTTAGAAGATCTGTGCTTCCAATATTTGGGGACTGGGATGGGACTCGGGTCACCAGGCTTGGTGGTAAAATAGCTAAGACATCTTGCTGGCCCTGCTACTGTTCATTTTCTATCCTGCTATGCTCTAGATCTCATCATTTCTAATGGTTGGGACCTTTTGTATAAAGTCCTGCCATCTACACTCTGACTTGATACTTTGTATTCCTTTCTCTTGTTTAATTTCTCTTCCCCAAATAGTGTGTTGATAAGACAGGTGTAAGGAGATGTATGTCATATTGCAGATCTTGGAGGAAGTGTGTCCAACTCTTCCCATTTTGTATGGTAGCTATGAAATTGTCACTCATTACAGCCCTTGTTGGGTTGAGGCATGTTGATGCTATTCTAATCTTGTCAGGGTTTTTATCATGAAGGGTTGCTGAATGTTACTTACTGAATGCTTTCTTTTATGTGAATTGAGATCACATGTTTTTGTTCTTTGTTCTCTTGATGAGATATCATACCTATATTGATATGTTTGATTTGTTCTTGCATCATGGGGGTAAATTTTACTTGACATTTTGGAGCTGTGGCAGTTGACATTTTACTGTTGATAATTTTGATATCCATTCATCAGGGATGTTGATGTGTAGGTTGTAATTGTTGTATATGATTTATGTTTCAGGGTATGGTGACCTAGTAGAATAAGTTTGGTAGAGTTTCTTCTTTTTTAGTTTATATTTAGAATAGTTTGAGAAGAATTGAAATTCAGTTTTTCTTGAAATATTTTGTAGAATTCATCAGTGAAACTCAAGTTATGGAACTTGCTTTTGTGGGAGACTCCCCCATATGTCCTGTATGTTACGGAACAAACTTAGATCTCATGCATGCTGGACAAGTGCTTTATCACAGATCTACATCCACCTTCAGACCGTGTGGGGTACTGATCCTCTGCCTCTATCTCATTAATTGTTTTAGGCTGCTGTATATTTTTCCACTGTTTTGATCCAGTCTAGTGTATTGTTCATCTTGAGTTTCCAGTTTGCAGTCATATGATAATCATGGCAGTGTTTCTGGTTTTTGGCATTTTTGTGATTCCACTTTGTAAGTCTCTCCTTTTTTATATCTAATTTAATTTTCTTCCTTTAATTATCAAAAAGTTTGTTGATTTTTATCTCTCAAAAAGTCAGCTATCAATTTGATTATTAGTAGTTTATTTCTAGTCTCTATTTTACTTATTTCTGCTCTGATATTCATGTTTTCCTTGGATTTGGGTATTTTCCTAGACTCAGCTCTTTGATAAAGGAATTAACGGCTTCCAGTTGCTTTTATTTTACTGCATTTGGTGAATAAGCAGGCTTTGGCATGCAGCATTTCCATCACTTGAGAGACTTCATGAGTTCCTTTTTATTTCTTCAGTGACTTCCTTCCTTCCTTCCTTCCTTCCTTCCTTCCTTCCTTCCTTCCTTCCTTCCTTCTTTCCTTCCTTCCTTCCTTCCTTTCTTAAGACAGGGTTTCTTTGCGTAGCCCTTGCTCTCTGAGAACTCATTCTGTAGACCAGAACTAGTCTAGAACTCAGAATCCTGTCTGCCTTTGTCTCCTGAGTGGTGGGATTAAAGGCTTGTGCCACCACCACCTGGCTCTTCAGTGACCTGTTGGCTGTTCCTGAGCATATTGCTTAATTTTCATGGACTTGTTTATTTTCTATTTTTGCTTGTTGATTTCTAAATTGTGTTCTGGCATTTTATAGATTTGTGGTAAGATTCTAACTTTTTAAATCTTGAGACTTATTTTGGTGCCTAATATATAATATATAGTCTAGGTTGGAAAATGTCCCAGTGTTGATGGGTATGTATATTCTGCAGATGTTATGTGAGCTCCAGTGACTTTTTATTTTTTGAGGATGTTTTATTCCATAACCCAGGCTAGTGTTGAGTCCTCATCAATTCTTTTTCTCATCTTCTTGAGTGCTGTGATGATAGGTGTGAGCTACCATATCAGACTGCTCAGTGATTTTTTTTTTAATTGCCTTTCTCTCTGAATAGTCTGTGGCCAAATACGAAGAAGAAATTTAAAAGAGGACTGTGTTCTGGCTACAGTTTGAGGGGCAATGTCCACTGATCCACAGTCAAGAAACACAGAGACAAAGATTGGTACTCAGCTTGCTTTATTCTTTTATCAGTCCAGGTCCCCAGAGCATGGAATGGTCTACCAGCATTCAGGGCGAGTCTTCCCTCCTATGTCAAACCTTTCCAGAAGTCCCTCCAGAGATGCAGACAGGTGTTTTCCTGGTGACTCTAAATCCAGTCTAGTTGACAGTGAGAGTAAGCATACTGAGGTCCCTTTTTCCACTCTCAGATCATACAGATAATATGAACTCTTCTCTATCCACTCATCAGAGCCCCTCTTAGTATTCCTGTGAAAACCTTCTCTCCTTTCTGTCCAGGGACAAGATTGAGACTTGCAACCTTATTTTGCGTTTCCTGGGGGTATATCAATCTTTGGGATCCCCTCCTTTTCTTGTAGCTCATCTCTAATATGCTTTCTAGTGCTCTGCTCCAAAATTTCATATCGTATGCCTATGCATTGAGATGGTCATGGGTCACATGGTGCCCCTGGGCCCTGTCTACCTTCAAAATTCAGTTGTTTCTCTGATTTGATCTTTTTGTTTTCCTATTTTGTCAGGGTATGTTGGAAAAGAGTTTAAAATTAACAGTTCAACAGTCTTAAGTGCTTTTTTTTTTTCTCGGAAGACTAATCAGGATAATCTCACTTGCCTTCTTGCTCTAATAATTCTCAAATAGTATTTTTCTTTTCTCTTTTATAGGATTTAGCCTTGCTGCATTTAAAAGGAACAAGAGGAAACTAGAACTGGCAGAAAAGGTGGAAACAGACTTCATTCAGCTAAAGAAAAGAAGACAATCAAGTGCAAAGGTCAGGAGGTGTCTCAAGTATTTGATGATGCATGATAGTGATACTGCTGGCCTGCCTTTAGAACAGCACAGTCCACTTGAAATGTAACGCAAGCCGTGTATGTATTTTAAAGCAGAGTGGAGCTGATGGGGCTCATTAAGTAAATGTACGCATCACCAAGCCTGATAACCACAGTTCCTTCCCTAGAACCTACATAGTAGAAGGTGAGAACTGACTCCTGTAAGTTGTCTTCTGACCTTCACACATGTATTGTAACATTCACTTGAGCATGTGCATGCATGCATAATACATGTATAAAAATATAATCTAAAAAGTAATTTTGAGTTCGGTGTGATGGTACATACCTTTAATCTCAGCATTCAGGAGGCAGAGGCAGATGGATATCTGAGTTCAAGACAGGCCTGGTCTACAGAGTGAATTCTTTGACACTTAGGGCTACACAGAGAAAGCCTGTCTCAAAGAAAAGACAACAATGAAAACAAAAAAAAGTAGAATTTGATTGTGAAAAGAAACAATTGAAATTAATTTTAAAATGTAAACAAATACAAATAATTTTAATAATATACATTTTAAGTTTATTTATTTATTTATTTAGAAAATATTTTTGAAATATAGTCAGTGGAAAAATCAATAACAAGCTATTTGAATGTTTGTTGAGGGATGGTGAGATGGATCAGGGTAAAGGCACTTGTTGCCAAGCTTGACAACCTGAGTTTGATCCCCAGGGCCCACATGCTAGGAGGACAGAGTAGACTTCTGAACGTAGTCCTTTGACCTCCACATGTATGCTGTGGCATGTGTTTCTAAATACATAGATGCAAATAAATAAACATAAATATATACATGAATACATGCAATAAAGTTAACTGTTGAAAAAGTAAATTTGCATATTTACTTATTAGAATCATACTTTACATTGGCTGAAAAATGCTTTAAAATGAAACTTAACTCAAATTGAATAAAATAAGAAACTCAGTTTCTCATTTGAACTTTGTTTCACTTGCTCAGTGACCACTAAGGTGCCACATGACTATTGTGTTGTTGAGGTCCTTCTATACATGCTTTGAGTGTAGAGTGAAGTTGAAAGCTACAGCATTCTTCTTCTGCCTTTGGCTTTAGGGCTCATGGTTGGTGTATCAGGTCACATATTCCTTTGGTGTACCTTATCTGTATCAAGTTGTTCTTTAATGCCTCATGCACTGGTTCATGCTTTCGATCAAAGTTTTGTATGGTTGCCGTAAATAAAAAAATAAACCGTTTTTCATAATAATAGGTATTTTCTCGGTATGTTTCCTCATGGGATAATACATCAAATATTTTGGTTCAGTTCTCCCTGTATGTGTCACAATAATGGGTTTTAGGAAGCAAATTAATATTTAAATTTCGATGAAAACTGGCCTAGCCTGATTCTCTTATTTTGTGTTCCTACATCCTTTGTGATACCTGGGTAAACAAATTTAGGACTTTTTGCCTTTTGAAAAAAATTAGGAGTATGTGGCTTGTCTGTCTGTAAGCCAAGTATTCAGGAGGTTTAGTAGATAGGTCATAGGCCGTAGAGTATTACCTTGTCTGAAAAACAAAATGCATGTAGTAGACAATTTCATCTGTTTTAATAACTGTATGTACTCTTGCAGCCCAAGCCATATCAAGACATGGAACATTTCAGGGATTTTTTTTTCTTTTCTTTTCTTTTCTTTTCTTTTCTTTTCTTTTCTTTTCTTTTCTTTTCTTTTTTTGAGGCAGAGTTTCTCTGTGGCTTTTGAGGCTGTTTTGGAACTAGCTCTTGCAGACCAGGCTGGCCTCAGACTCACAGAGATCCACCTGCCTCTGTCTCCCGAGTGCTGGAATTAAAGGCGTGTGCCACCACCGCCCTGCAACATTTAAGGTTTTGTTGGCCTGCAGTTAACCTATAACCTAAATAGTAGGCATTATTCCACTTTATCCTGCCATAGATCATAGATGTTTTATGTTACTGTCATATAGAATGTGTTCTCTTCTTTTGACTTTTTTCCCAGAATATTTTTAGATGTCTTGTTATTGGTTCCTTAACACAAATAGGTAAAAATAAAAACAACACTAAGTAATATTTCCTAATGTACATAGACTATAATTTGTGTATACATTTCTCCTGCTGGAGATTGACTGTTTTTTGATGTTTACTACTAGAAACAATGTTGCTGTGAAATTTTTACAGTTCTTTTTGTGGTTATTAGTTTAGAATTTTATGCATAGATTATGCCAGATAAGAAAACAGTGGTGAAACTGTGGTCAGGATATAAAATAAACAAAAAGAAAGAAAAAAACCAGTGGCGAACAAAATGTTCTAGTGAGACTTTATTTTAGTGAACAGACATAAAGTATATACATATAATTATGGTTAGCATTTTTTATATTATTTTATATAATTCATTTATTTATTTTACATCCTGACTGCTGTTTCCCCTCCCTCTTCTCCTCCCTTTCCTTCCTTCCTTCTCCAGTCCCCCCCAAACCTACTCCTCCTCTGTTTCTGTTCAAAAAGGGGCAGGCCTTCCATGGGTATCAGCAGAGCTTGGTCTATCAAGTTGCCCTAAGACTAATTACCTCCTCTTGTATTTAGGCTGTACAAGACAATCCTTTTATGAGGATTAGGTTCCTAAGAGCCTGCCAAAGCATTAGGGACAGTCCCTGCTCCCATTGTTAGGATTCCTACAAATAGATCTAAGCTATACAACTGTCATATATACATAGAGGGCTTAGGTAAGTCCCATGCAGTCTCACGGGTGTGTTGGTTCAGACTCTGATTTCCTATGAGCCAGGTTAGTTGTTTGTGTGGTTTGTCTTGTGATGTCCTTGACCCCTCTGGCTCCTACAATCCTTCCTCCCTCTCTTCAGCAGGATTCCCTGAGCTTGGCCTAATGTTTGACTGTGGATCTCTGTATCTGTTTCTATCAGCTATCAGATGAAGGCTTTCTCATCGCAATGTGGTAGTCACCAATCTGATCACAGGGGATGGCCGATTCATGCTATGTGTCCACTATTGCTAGAAGTCATCCTTGTAGATTAATGTGAATTTCCCTTGAACCAGGTTTCTACTTGACCCGAAATGACACCCCTTTCCAGTCATCTCCATCAGTACCCTTGGGCCCTCCTTATTACCTAGCCTCTCTGGGTCTGTAGATTGTAGCCTGGTTATCTTTTATAGTCAATATCCACTTATGAGTGAGTACATACCATGTCTGCCTTTCTGGGTCTGGGTTATCACAGCATATTTTTTTCTAGTTCTATTCATTTGCCCTCAGATTTCCTGATGTCATTGTTTTTAATAGTTGAGTAATATAGTGATATATTATTTATGATTTATTAAAGCTTGACTGAGGATTCAGAAATGCAAAGTCAGCCTCAAGCTATAGAGATCAGGCAGTGGTGATACACACCTTTAATTCCAGCAGTCAAAAGCTAGGAGGTTGTGGTATACACCTTTAATCCTAGCCCTCAGGATTAAGAGATAGACAGATCGCTCTGAGTTCAAGGTCACCCAGGTCTACACAAGAGTGAATCAGTCTAAAAGTGAATTATAGCTCACACCTTTAATCCCAGGACTCATGAAAGTTATATAAATCAGTATCAGGAGTCAACATGAGGCATTCATTCTCCAGCCATGCTGAGGAGAGATTACAGTCTGAGGATTCTTGAAAGCTCGTGGAGATAGGATGAGCCCATTCAGCCTGAGGTAAGAAGCTAGTGGCCAACAACTTTGCTTTTCTGATATTAATCTTGAAGTTTGAACCCCAATATCAGTCTCTGGTTCATTTATCAATTCCTATTACAGAGTAATACTTCACTGTGCAAATGTACCATATTTTCTTTATCCATTCTTCAGTTGAGGGGCTAGGATCTCCATATCCTCTTCAAGTGTACTCTGCAGGGACCTAGTTTACTTCTAGTGTTTTCTTCCCATCTCTTAATGTTTCCACACCCTTCCCAGTCGTGCCCCAGGCTATCAATCAAGCATGTGATACCAAAAGACATTATAGCAAATACACATTTAAAGATATGCACATCTGCTTTTGAAAATATGAACCAACCTGTCATCCTTACTATTGGAAAGCTTGCTGTGATAGGTAGAAATATTAACTGTTGAGTTGGTTATATGAGCAACTTCATGTTCATGGACAGGAGTTTTGTTCATGGGTAGGGTGGGAGGGTGATATCTTTGAAATTGTTGACATCAAAAGGAAAATATGTTCACATTGATGCATTCCCTGAAGAGTGAGACTACATGAGAGATTTGCATCTGAATCTCAAGTTAGTTCAAGATGTAGAAACTGGGAGAACAAGGAACCACCTGAAGAAAAATAGGAGATACTTTGAGACAAAGGTACCAGGACTTACATGTGTGCATGCATGCATTTGTGTTTGTGGGGTTGCTAAGGAGGAACATCTATTTCAAAGAAAGTCTTTCTGGGTCTCGTGCTCCTGAGGAGTGATTGTTGGATTTTCCCATCTGGAGACTGTTCTGGATGAACTGTATTTGTGATGTAATGGATTGTAGATGGCTATGGAATGGGTTGGTCAGCAAGAAGAAGGGGTCAGTGTAGCTCTTGAGAAGTTTTGCCATGGGGGTGACAGGAAGAATTGATGCCATTGTCATTAACTTCTGAAAATCAACTCAGTTTTGGTGAACTTAGTTTCTAGTTGTAGGGTTTGTAGATTTTTAAGGTGTAATATTTTAAAGTGAAAAATATAGGTTTTTAGTAATTATCTATTCTTAGTTATTGGTATTTCTGTTTTTTCATCATTGCTTAATTTTTGTGACTTATATGGTAGAGACAGAGACAGGAAAGATTACCATTTAACTGTTGTATTTTTTGTTGTTGTTGTTGTATTATAGTTTAATATAAAAATAGTAGTGAACACTTGACCATGTTCTTTCTAGGTGGACTTAACTCTTGGTTTTTCTTCAGTCTTTTATTGTATATAGATATCTGTACTTGCTGTGTTCTGAGACAAAGAGCAAA